TCGGGCCCCCCGCAGCCGCCCGCTCCCTCCCTCCCTGCGGCACCCGGGACGCGGAGCGGAGCCAGCGCCTCTCCCGGCGCCCCTCGTCCTCCGGCTGCTCTCCCGGCTCCTCCGCCGGGTTGGGATGAGGCCTCTCCAAGAGGAAGCGCAGGGGAACCCCCAACCCACACGGGCATCTCAGCCAACGCTGCTCTGCTCCCAGGCCCTTAGAATGAAAACCATCCGTTTCCCAGATGGATGCGACTCCTCAGGAGGTATTTACTCAGCAATAGGCACAAATCCTCTGCTCTTCACGTTGCTCCGCATGGGATAAAATATTCCGTGACTGTCTATTTAAACATCTCGTGCTAATACCATCAAGTGTTTGCTCAACTCATATTGTTCTTTCAGCTCTGGAGCAGTGAAAGCTCCTGGGCATCTCTGCGTGCAGCAAATCCATAGCTACAGACGCCGCTAAACTAACATGGAGCTGAGCACATGGAATCATAGAATCACAGAATCACAGAATGCTCAAGGTTGGAAGGGACCTCTAGGGATCATCTAGTCCAAACCCTGCACACGCAGGGTCACCTAGAGCACGTAGCACAGGGCTGCATCCAAGCGGGTTTGAAGATCTCCAGAGAAGGAGACTCCACAACCTCTCTGGGCAGCCTGTTCCAGTGCTCTGGCACCCTCACTGGGAAGAAATTTTTCCTTAAGTTCCTGTGGCACTTTTGGTGCTTCAGTTTGTGGCCGTTACCTCTAGTTCTGTCGGTGGCCACCACTGAAGAGACCAGCCCCATCCTCCTCACTGCCTCCCTTGAGGTACTTCTAGACACTGCTCAGGTCCCCTCTCAGCCTTCTCTTCTCCAGCTGAACAGGCCCAGCTCCCTCAGCCTCTCCTCATAGGGCAGATGTTCCAGGCCCCTGATCATCCTTATGGCCCTGCGCTGGACTCTCTCAGGAGAGGGGCCGGCCGAGCATTCCAACGGGGATGCTTCCCAAGGGCCCAAAGCTGCAGGATCTTCTGTTAAACCACGGCGGAGCACGTGGGTCCTAGCAGGGCGCAGCCGTCCGGGTGATCCGTCACCAGCTGGCCCGGACAGGGCCCGCAGAGCCCTCGGCACAGGGATGCGGTTGGGCCGCTTCCCGCCCGCCGCGGCCCTCGTCCCGCCACCAGGATGATTTACGTGCTGGTTGGTGATCCTGCCTTTCCGAGGGGCTTTGGGAAGCACCTGCAGAGCCTTGGGGTGCTAAGACGGGGCTTGGCAGCACGGTCATTGCCCAGCTCTTGTGCAGGGTGGCTCCATGTCACCGTTCCCGAGCCATCGACTGCACCACATGCGCATGGGGGACAGTGCCGGAGAGCCCGGCAACGTTCAGGCTCTGGCTGTGGCAGACCCTGCAACGCTGAGCAATAACATCGATTTATGGGGTCAAAACGACCTTGAAGAGATGGCTCGATTCCTTGGAGGAAGTTTAATAATAATAAAAAAAAAAAATAGCATGTCCCTGACCCATCCGTCACCAGGAAAACAAGCCAATCCTGCTGTAACTTAATACTGCCACTAGGACCAAAGGTGCAGATCAAGCCTACGCACAGGAGCGCGGCGGAGGCTGTGACACAGCCGCAGTCGCGGTGACAGCCGCATGGGTTACGCTGTTGCAGGGCCTCCGGAGCCGCTGCCCTGGCAGGAAGCCCGCTCCAACACCGAGAGCTGCTCAGCAGCCAGGAGACGAGTTTAAGAGAGAATATTCCCGGGAACAGCCCCTTTATTCCCAGCAGCTGCAAAGGAATCCCGTGTTCCTGGGTGAGGGCTGCGCTCGGAAGGCAGCTCAACCTAACGAGTGTCACGGACACGAGCAAAGTGCAAGTTGTGAGCCCTGCATGGTCCTGCTTAGCTCCCCTTTCGCTACTCCCTTCCTCCAGTTTCTTTCTGGGGGAGGATTTGGGCTGCCTTTGCTCCCTCTGCCCCACGGCTGGGAGCCACGGAGGGCACGGGCAGGAGGAAGCTGCGGGGCCGCGTCCTGGCAGGGAGCGGTGAGTCAGCCCTCATTTGCCTTTAATTCCTGGATGTGCGGAGTGTGTGTGAGAAATCCCGCCTTGCTTTAAAGGAAAGTTAAGGAAAAATTTCTTGACAGTGAGGGTGACAGAGCACTGGAACAGGCTGCCCAGAGAGGTTGTGGAGTCTCCTTCTCTGGAGATCTTCAAACCCGCTTGGACGCAGCCCTGTGCCACGTGCTCTAGGTGACCCTGCGTGTGCAGGGGGTTGGACTGGATGGTCTCTAGAGGTCCCTTCCTACCTTAACCATTCTGTGATTCTATGAAACTCAGGCACAGCTCTGCCAGCTCCTTGAATCCTGCCTTGAATCCTTGCGATGGGGGACTCCATTCCCCTTGTGCTGCTCTCAGGACGCAGACGCCCGTGGACTCGGCGACGTTCCCGTATCAGGAGTTTGAGCTCCGGGCTGTAGCTCTGCTGTACCACGGCCAAGGAGCTCGTGCAGTATCAGACCGGCCCGCGACACACCGAAGCCTCCAGAACAGCCCTCCAAAGCCGAGCGACTGAAGCAAACATCTCTTCAAAGCAGCTTGCAAATTTGAAAATTAAAATCAAAAGGAACCACTAGGATTTCTGGGGTGGGGCCAGTGTATGACCCCTTTTGACTTCTAGGGTAGAGAGGCCAATATATCCTCTCCTGCTCCTGGCTTCTCCTTTTTACCAAAGCAAAGAAAGGCAGCATGCAACTGCTGCCACTGCTTTGAGGAACTTGGGTTATTTCCTATAAAAAGCACATCTGTGGCCATACATTTTGGAGCAAGACTTTAGCTTGGAAGCAGCAGCGCACAAACAAACGCCAAATTTGCGCTGACTAGAGTAGATTCCAAAGGAAAGAGGAGTTGGGAAAGCACCTACTTAAGCACTGACTAAGGATGTAATCTCTGATCTGAATCTGGCCTGTGTGTGTGTTACTGTTGGGTACACAGTGCGGTTTCAGACATGGCCAGAGACAAGAAAAAATGATTGTTTCAGGGTAACCACAAGGAAGATGAATGCAAATGTATTCCTGTAACTGGGAGAGTTCCCTTGCTCTTAACTTGGGCTCTGGTACATGGCCCCAGGGAAGCAAATTTGCAACCTACCTTCATTAAAATGTTTAGGGATGATTAATGAAAAGAGATGTGCAGTTTTTGTGCGTTGTGCAATGCTGGCTT